CACACACACACACACACACACACACCCCTAGTCAGAGACCTTTGGTTGCTTTCAGATGGTCACACAGACACACACACACACACCAGTCAGAGACGTTTGGTTGCTTTCAGATGGACACACACACACACACCAGTCAGAGACCTTTGGTTGCTTTCAGATGATCACACAGCCACTCACCAGCGCTGCTCACCACCTCTGGACTGGGCAGAACCCTTGAGAGAGGGCCGTCCTTATGAAACTACTAGAATGCTCAGAGGGGAGGAGACCAGCCCGAGAGCCTGGCTGCTCCGGACAGCAGACTTGAGCCAGCACACGTGCTCGGCACGAACCGACGAACGGCAGCAACAGAAAACGCAGCAGCTCCACCGGGGGAAGAAACAGAGGGACTCCTCCACATTGCCTGCCTCCTCAGCCTCCCGGGGCCTTGCAGGGAGTTCTCCGTGCTGGGGGTGCAGCGGGCAAACAGCAGAGCCAGGCTCTCTGGCTGAGGAGCCCTCCCTGGCAGCCTCAGGCCTGTCCAGTGGGCCCCATTGGGTGTATGCACGGATTGTGGCACTTACCACCCAGGGGCACCCTTTACAGGGCGCCATGCTGCCAGCACCTACCAAGTAAGCACTTAGCAAATGCCACCTTTCCCAGCACCAACTCTCCCGGCAGCCCCCACGGGCTGTCCCTGGCGGCCCTGACTGAGGTCTTCCCTGGCGCATGCCCCACAGCACCAAGCCTTTGACAGGAAAATAGGAATTCCATAATCCCCAGGTCAACAAACCCTTGTTAAGAGTAAGAATTCTTCTGCTGGACTTGACAATGGCCCAGAGACAATGGTCCAAATGTTGGTTACTACAGAGAAGTCAGAGTCAGGCAACTCTATGTGAGAAGGGCCAGTGGGTGGGTGCACACTGGGAAGGGAAGCACCAAGGAAAATCATAAAAACCAACAATAACCCTGTCAACAAAAGAACACTGTGGTGACCAGCTAAAACTCAGACCAGCCCAGATCAGCCCTCCCTTGCCTGGCAATTCCCAAGGTCCTCGCCATCTGCAACACAGACACTGCTCGCGTCTGCCTGGTCATGCCTGTCTGTATGTCCTGTGCAGACACGCAAGTACCCACACCCATGAAGACCCTTCGGGGATGCTGCACTTAATCCTCCCAGTCTTGCAGCTCCACTGGGGGTTGCCTCTCAGTTTGGGGGCTGACTCTCCCCTCTCCTGCCCACCCAACAACTGGTCTTTCTCCCAGTCTCAGGTTAGGCCTGAGGGCCCCAAGAAGAGCCCTCCCTCCAGCTCCGGCCCAGGTTAGGCCCCAGGTCCCGAGGGTAGGGTTAAGCCAGCAACTCAATGCAACTATCACTGGCAGCTATCCTGTGTGCCTCGGGGTCCACTGCTTTGTCCCTGTGCCACACTGGACAGCACAATGGCACAAACGATGCTTGGTGGCAGTTCCTCCCACATCCTGCCCAGCCCCTGAACAGGGTGACAGCACTGGCTGAAGGGATCAGTGAGTCACAGCAGTGGTGCAACAAGCCACTGGCCTCTGAGGGGGGGCACCTTCCAGGGCCACACAATGGCTCCATGAAGACCAAGTGTCCACCCTGACACTGACACAACTAGTCTATGCACAAATACACAAACACCAATCGATGGAGACGTGTTAGCCATGAACACACTAGCCCTACCGTAGATGCAATGGAGAGACGTCAGACACAAACGCCACAAGAAAGTCCCAGTCCTCTCGGAGCCCCAGTTCCTCATTACAGAGCACATCGCATCTCGGCTGTAGGTGGTCACGGGGCTTCGGGACCCCATGACTGTCCTTGGGGCACCCAACTTATGCAAGGCACGGGGACAGGCACTATACGCGGAGGGTTCAGGCTGGGCCTGAGGGCACTAGGCTGCAGAGGACGGAACTAAGTTCTGAGAGTACACAACGAGACAGTCCCCAACCCCCTGCCATAAGCAGGCGACAGTGTAGGAAGAGGTCCTCAGGAGGCTGAGAACACGTCACGGGTGTACAAGCCACGCAAAAAGTGACAGGGCCAGGAATCAGCCCTTGCTCAACCACTGTGCGCCTGGCTCTAGAGACCCAAAGATGGGGGCCCTTTCTTCTGCTGCTCCCCATCAACCCTCTGGAATGCACTGGTCTGACCACACAGAGAGGGGGGGCGGGGATAATCTGAGGCGGTCCACAGCTCTCTCCACTGATTCTGGAAAGGTCGACACCTAGTCGGAGAGGAAGCCTGTCAGTTCACGTTTCCACTCCCCAGTCTCCACACCCAAGCAACCCTACAAACCCACCCGCACCTAGTGCTTCCTTTAAACTCCCGAACAACGATGTGTAAAGAACCCAGCTTTGAGGGCGAGGAGCCCTGACGTCGGGCTCAGGGGAGGTGCCTCAGCTCCAACTCAGTACTAGGTTCCCAGAGCAGGGGTGCTAGCAGTGGGACCCCAGGCCCGCCACTTCAAATCACAGGAACCGAATGCACAGCGTGGGCCACTGTGGGCTAGAAACTTCCGGGGGCTGTCCCCACCTGTCCCTGACAGACCTGCGCCTC